GCAAAATTTGTTGATATTTGAGGAATGGTGAATGTATGGGTTGCTGTTGTAACAAGAATATCTTATTGACCTAGTTTGAATTGAGCCGGAGCTAAATCTCGACATTCTTGATATTTTCCACCCTAATAGAAATACATTGAAAAAAAATCTCAATTCTTTTATAATAAAAAATCTATTAAAATAACTACGTACGTGTAATGTACATAGGCTATTTCCTTTTTCAGCTAAAACTTTAGTTAACACCACAACACCTTTTGATTAACAGATATAATAATACGTGGTTGAATGTGACGTTCAAAATTCAATTGAACCAATATAAACAGATGCTGGACGACGAAGATATTTAGGACCTAAACGCTCAATAATTAGTGTTATTGTTGCTGTAAACATCATTGTTTGATGATATTTATCTTTTCAAGAAAAATCTCTTAATACAGAAGAAAGAAGAAAATTTTGTTTGTCTTTTTCTTATCAAAATGTTTTTCTTTTACCCTGTATCTTCTGCAAGTTCATTATCTGACTTTTGATTTTGAACTGGTAAATACTCAAGAATATATTTAATATCAGTCTCAAAACCTATATCAATGGTAATCAAAATTTAATAAGAGTCAATAGAAAAATACAGTGAAGTTTTCTTACCAATCATTCGGTCAGCTTCATTCACAACAACATAATCATATTGTTGCATGTTCAATAATGATTTTCAGATACATCAACAAGACGAGTTGGCTTATCAATAACAATTTGACAAGCAAGACGAGGTGTAAAACCTTGTTCTTCACAAGATAAACCATCAATAATTGAGACAACAGTTATATTTAATGGCTAAAAAAACGAAAAAACTATTCAATGTGTGCATTCAAATAAATATAAAATGCGTACTGTGCCGAATTTAACTACTTCCTCTTCTTCCATTTGTTGTGTTAATTCATGAGTTGGTGCTATAAGATCATGTGATCCATTATCAACATTAAGAGATCTTTGAAGAAAAAAATTTTATTCATTTCATCAATAAAAAAATTATCTTATCAGTCAACTGGTGGTGATAATTAATTTAACTGCTGTTATGCCAAAACCAGCTTTGCAATATCAATCACATTTCGATTTTGTAAATCAATTGGAATGTTGTTCCTATAGAAGAAAACAATTAAAAACTGGTCAGCGCAGCTGCTTTGGAACCAAAATATTGAATTCATATGTGTTCTTTAGCTTCATTATACTAATGCAGAATAGGTTAAGTAGAAAATTTCTAGCATATTATTACTGTTTCATATTCTTGTCATTGACAATTCGAGAAACGCTTTGAAATGTTCCAAAACACTCTCCGTATTCTTGTTAATGTCATTCAGTGTTTTCTTTCCGTTGCTGAGGTACTGTAGAAAAGAAGTCTGAAGTCTGAAGTTTGTTGTCTTTGATTGACATGGAAGCGTACCAAATGATTATAGGAAGGAGAGGAAGTCGCAAAAACTTCGATTTAACCTCTTGAAGACGGGATTACTTTTGAGAAAAATGAAATTCCCCAAAGCTGTCACGTAATATATTTATTGGATGTAAGGATTATTCTCCCACGAAGAGAAAAGAAATATCAGAGCGATGAGAACAACCCAATCCCATAACCTGTGTTTTAAAAAATACCAGAAAAATATCATAAAAGATATTCTAAAATCAGTTAAAAGGTGGTTCAGAACCAAACCACATATATGTGGTTCCCGTCCTCAGGTAGTTAAACTTCCATTCACTATTTTTCTTAAAAATAACTATTTGTGACTTCAAGAATGTCTTTTTCAAGTCCAGCTTCATTTCATGATTATAATAGATATGAATTATTTTCACCTCTTGTTGTTATATTATAATCTTCTTTGAAAATATGCCAATCTCGATCAGTAATTACTTCTAAAGTTGTATCAGACCAATAACTTTCATCACAACAACATTTTTCATCTTTTGCTGGATCACATTTAAGACGAGATCTAGAAAAATAATGAATGAAAATGAGTGTACTCTGTTTTTCAAATAAATTACCAAAAAATTTCGATTGATGTCTTTTTGTTTATTAATATCAATATCAGCTAAATGATCACGATCAAAGAATTGTATTTAATATTTTTCTTTATAGATTGGATTATTATCTACAGCTGTGTCTTCACCAATATTCTAATCGAAAATAAATTTTTGTTTATTTAAACGGCAAACTTTACGTTTTTCTTTCTAGAGAAAATAAAAAAGAAACATAAAAAAAATTGATTTGAAAGAAGAAAATAATTTACATTAACAATGCCAAGATATCGTTCATTGATAGCTGTTTCTTTGGGTTCTTCATCAATATCTATAAAAGTCACAAGAAGAGAATTAATATAAATGAAAAGAATAGAACAAATATACAAGAATTACTCGAATTACTTGACCGATTTGTTTTATCGTCTTTTTCATCTGTTTTTTGTTTCAGTTTCCTTATTAAATGCAGCATATTTTTACGTAATTCTTAATTTCATTGATGAATAACTTCAGCTTCTGCTTTAGTTATAAGTTTAGACTGAAAAATAAAAGAAAAAAAAATCGATGAATGTATCATATCTAATAATTATCGACATAAATATTATTAAATACTG